TACCAAGGGCTCAAGTAAAACGTAAATGTTTTCCAAATGTTGATGGCAACATATGTACAAGCATGCTTAATACAATTGAATTCTGGATTGGTATAAGATCTGTAAGAGCCCCCCCCAATAAAATGATTAATTAAAATAGATTTAAAAAAAAACAAGTGTGAAGCCATTCGGCTGTCTCCACCCTGTTGTTTTTCTCACCTGTAACAAGCGGCATTGGGTGTTATAAAATCATCACGTAGGTTCCTTTTTGTTGTTTAATTTTTAAAAAACTATTAAACGATCATTTTCCTGAGGGCTCCTACAGCACTTACAGCACTCCACACAACCACTGTGTCAAGCATATGTGCGCCTGGCTCGCCACCATCGCTTTCTAAACATCTGCTTTCTACGGAGCCCTTGATTTTAGCTCCTCTTCCCCGCACCCCATGTTTTCTTTTCTAGCCATCGTTTGAAACCAGCTCTGGGGCCACAAAAGCATCGAAGGACGTTTCCATGCCGCTTTCCCCGCTTTAACCACTTGGGGCCGGCGTGTCTCCAGCTGAGAGGTCAGGAAACTGGACAGCGGTCAAAGGTGGGACGGCCCCGCTCTGGGAGCAATTCTTTACTTTCTCGTCCCTCTCATTTGTAGATCACACACCAAGGGAAACACTCTGAGACGCAGAGGTACGGCCTGTCCCATCAAAACAGCGGCTGCCTCTCTGTGGAGCCCCCACACCTGTGACTATTTCTTCTTCTCTTTCCCCTTCCCCTCTTCGCCCTCCCCCTAGTCTTTAAAGTCTCTTCCTTTGGTGTAGAAACGATTTTTCTTGTATTTTTTCTCCTTTTATAATGATTGTTGTTGTCAGGTGCCTTCAGCCACCCTGGTTACAACGGATTGAAACTCCGTGTGGCCCTGCGCCGTCCTCATGTCTGAGCTCATCGTGGCCGCCAACAGTCTGTCCCTCGAGTCAGGGGCCTTCCCCGTTGGCCCTGCCCCTCCACTGGACGGAGCATGGTGCGCTTCTCCATGGACTGGGCTCCCAGGGTGCGCTGAACTCTCGCCACCCTGGCCTCTGAGGACCACTCTGCCTGTTTCTGGCTGTACTTCTTCCACGAAAGATTCGCTTCCGGTTCTGACCGACCACGGTACATTCAGTCTTCCTCACCAGCACCCTGATTGAAGCGCATGGACTCTGCTCCTCCTCCTCCTCCCACATTCAATTTCCCGTGCCCATGAGGCCACTGAGCATGTCATGAGCTGGGTCAGACGCACCGTATCGCTCAAAGGGACCTTGCTTTTCGACAC